GACCCAATGCTTTGGTAAACATATCAGTTAATTGATCTTCAGACTTCACGAATGGAGTAAAGATGCTCCCACGTAATATTTTTTCTCAAATGAAGTGACAATCAACTTTAATATGTTTGGTCCTCTCATGAAACACAGGATTTGATGCAATGTGAACTGCTGCTTGATTATCACAGAACAATGGAGTAGGAGCTTCAACTGTCACCCCAAGTTCTTTTAGAAAATGTTGCATCCATGTCAACTCACTAGTGGTATGGGCCATTGCCCTCTACTCAGTTTCAGCACTAGATCGAGCTACCACCGTTTGCTTTTTACTTCGCCATGTAACAAGATTTCCTCCTACAAATGTGCAGTAGCCTGTAATAGATCTCCTATCTGAAGGAGAACCAACCCAATCGGCATCTATAAAACCTTCCACCCTGAGATGACCATTTGATTTATATAGTAATCAAAAACCTAGAGCTTGCTTGAGATATCAGATAATCCGAAGAACAACAATCCAATGTGCCATTCTAGGGGCTCCCATGAACTGACTTACAACACTAACTGCATATGAAATATCAAGTCGAGTGATAGTGAGATAAATTAATTTCCCAACAAGGCGACGAAATCTGCCCAGGTCATTAAATAGATCACCCTCATCAAACACAACTTTTGTATTTGAATCCATAGGAACATCAACCGGCCGACCACCCAACATACATGTTTCTTCTAATAAGTCCAACACATATTTTCGTTGAGATAAACTTATACCCTTCTTGGATCTAGCAACTTCAATACCCAAGAAATACCTAAGTTTACCCAAGTCTTTAGTGTGGAATCGATATTGCAGAAACAACTTCAACTTAGCAATGCCTTCAGAATCATCACCTGTGATCACAATATCATCTACATACACCACAAGAAATATGAAGCCAGCTTTAGTGCGCTGGTGAAATACCAAATGGTCAGTCTGACATCTGTTAAGACCAAATTTTAATGCCGCCTCAGAGAATTTTCCAAACCAAGCCCGTAGAGATTGTTTCAATACATACAAGGCCTTTTTAAGGTGACAAACAGGCCAATAGCAGCGATAACCTTTATGAGAACGAGAATATCCAAGAAATACACACTTTGTGGCACGTGGGTCTAGTTTATCAAAACCAGGACCAAGATTGTGGACATAACATACACATCCAAAAACTCTAGGAGTAAGAGAAAACAAGGGAGAATGAGGAAATAAAATAGAATGTGGAGATTTGCCATCTAATACAGAGGACGGCATACGATTAATAAGATGACAGACAGTAAGAACGGCATCACCCCAAAAACGTTTAGGCATACTCATATGAAACAAAAGAGCATGGGTTACTTCTAAGAGAGGTCGATTCTTACGTTCTGCAACTCCATTTTGTCGAGGAGTATAAACACATGAATTTTGATGAATAATTCCTTTATCACTAAGATATGTATCAAAGGGGGTTGAAGAATATTCCTTAGCATTATTAGAGTGTAGAATACGAATTGGGCTTCCAAACTAAGTTTTGATTTCTTTTCGAAATTTTTGAAAAATTAAAAATAACTCAGAACGATCTTTCATTAGAAACAACCAAGTCAGGCGAGAATAATCATCCACAAATGTCACAAAATAATGAAATTTATTGATTGAAGAATGCTTTATTGGACCCCATACATCTGAATGAACCAAATGAAAAGAACTAGAGACACGATTATTAACCCTAGACTTGAAAGATACGCGATGGTGCTTACTAAGTTGACAAACTTCACATGACAAGAATTTCAAATGACTAAGACTAGGAACTTGATACTGCAAAACTTGAAGTGACGGGTGACCAGTGCCACTGGAATGGAGACAGAGAAGACTGAAGAGCCACAGGATAAGGTTCCAAATCAAAGTAATATAAGCCACCAACTTCATGCCCCGTACCAATCTTCTTCTACATCTTGAGATTCTGAAACACACAAGTAGTAGGATATAATGTAACAAAGCACTGGAGAGATTTAGTAAGCTTACTGATAGACATTAAATTAAAGGGAAATTGAGGAACATATAAAACAGACGAGAGAGACAAGGAATCACTAAGTTGAGTTGTCCCCAAACCTGAAACCTTAGTGGATGAACCATTAGCAAGAGTAACACTTTGAGAAGGAGGTACATAATTAAAGTCAGATAGAAGAGAAGAACATCCAGTCATATGATTGGATGCTCCAGTGTCTATAATCCAAGGACTGCGAGTGGAAGACAATAGACATGTGTGTGACTGGGCAAAGGTAGCCATGGAAGATGAATTAGATGCTTGCTTATAAGACAAAAACTGAGTATACTCATCACGTGGAACAGTGACCGTATCTGATTCAGCTACGTGGTGAGATCCAGAAGCAACATCATTCAGAGAGGAGGAAACTTGATTTGCATAACTAAATGGTTTGCCAATAAGGTCCCAACAAAAATTCACAATATAATTAGAAAGGCCACAATGAGTACATTTTCGTAATTCCCTGCCACGGCCACGTCCTCCCCGTGAATCACGACCACCACATGTGGAGCGTCCCCCATAACCTCCACAGTAAGTATTATGTTCACCCTTTGAAACTACCAATGAGGAATGCTCACCACTCTGCCCATTATTCAAATTTGAGGTGTCACTTGCAAGTGTAGCGCGCTGAAGTCGCGAAAACACATCAGCAAGAGATGGAAGTGTGGGACTGCCCATAATCTATGCACGAATAGACTCATATGCTAACGACAAAATAGTAAGAAAACGGACAACATTAAAGTCCTCGCGTTGTTGTTGCATACTTCGAACATCAGCAGTAATGGACTGATACATATTCAGCTCCTCACAGACTCCCATAACTTTGGAATAATACTCTTCTATACTGTGATTACCTTGTTCAAGATTGAAGTACTACTTACAGAGCTCAGAAACACGGGTGATATTACATGTCCCAGAATACAATTGCTTCAATCTGTCCCATATCTCCTTGGCAATATCCAAATAAAGTAAAGTTGAACTGATTTGGGGTTCAATACTGGTTAACATCACAGAGATGATCTGAGCATCTTCCTTTTCCCATGCATCAAAAGAAGCATCAGTTTCCTTGAGTTTATCTTTAGTTAGATGAGTACCAAGACCTTTACATTTGAAAAAAATTGCAACAGATTTAGCCCACAGTATGTAATTCTTCCCATTGAGTTTAACGAAAGTCATGGGAGAATTAAAACTGGATGTGGGAGAAAGCAAGTCTGAACTGGACGTCATGTTGAACCCAACAAAATAGAGAAAAAAAAAATGCAGAATCTGGGCAAACGGGCCGGATCTGGTCAAACGTTCTAGATCTGGTCAAACGGGCCGGATCTGGTCAAACGGGCCGGATCTGGTCAAAAAGGTCGGATCTCTGCTATCCTGGTTTTAGTAAACCAGCGTTGGAATAGCTATCCCAGGTTTAGTAAACCAGCGTTGGAATAGCATAACCGTGTAGCCAAACACGAGTCTTCTTCTTCACACCTTCACAAACGCCGGTGAACAATACAACGGAGGCGACGGCGACCCAGTCACAAGCAACGGCCGAATCAATAAGCAGCGACCTCTGCAACTTCCGACAAAAAAAAAAACGCGAATCGATGAACCTCACCTCTGCAAATAAAGACGGTAGATGTCGGCTAGCTCGTTGACAACCAAAGAGGAGTTGCCGGCAACGACGTACGAGGCTTCAGATCTGATGACGGTGAATGAGGAACTGCCAGTGACGACAAACAAGGCAGAGAAACCAACACAACAATCGCTATTCCAATCTTATACAAGAACAACACAATTACAGACTCTCACACCCATGAATTCGTGTAGCTCTGATACCATGTTCAAAATCATGAGAGAGAAAGAGAGAGAGTGCAGACTTCTTTCTTGTATATATTTCACAGTACCCTAATAAGCCTATGTAGGCTTATATAAAGGATACAAGACTTACTTAATAACACAAGGGCCCTACCAACTATATGTAATTACATAATGACCCAACATATATATATATATATATATATATAAACATTCTAATAGTAACATAGTATTTTATATAAGCAATTTCACTAGTTTTAAAGCAATAATATAGTAAAATTGAATTACTGGATGTGTTTTCTAAGTGCATGTCCAACCTGAGTGTTGGACACATACCTTGTACCCATGTCCGAATATTGTGTGACTGAAGCAAGTAATTTACCTACTTTTGAAGAGTACATATATTATAGGTTCAAGGAAGTCATCATATTTACACTTTAACCCTTCTTTCTTTTAAAATTTCTTAAAACTCTCTAACGAAAGGATTGATTGATGCTTGGAGAGGGTGACATCTGGGATCCCACGCCCGACATTTCTAGAGGGTGGCTCCCTTTTGCGTTTGGTGATGCCTTTGGAAGGAGAGGAATAGAAGATCCTTTGATGGGGAGGAATCTTCTATTGGGGCAATAAAAAATTTTATTGTTAGCTCTCTTTTTTGATGGGTTATTGAGGAGAATTGTAAATCTATAGAGGTGATAGTTGATTTTTTTGGGCTCTTTGGGTCCTTAGGGACCATGGTCTTTTGTAGCTTCTGGGATACGTTCCCCTTTTGAATGCTTTCTAATACATATTTACTTATCAGGGGGGGGAAAAAAAAAAAAAAAAGCATGGAACATCACACAAAATCAAAATTATTGTTTTGAATATTCTGCATATAAGTGAATTAAAAATCTAAGAATTACGGAAACTTCTAAATATACATGTCTTTAGTAGACACAACCACCTCTTGGACATTTCCATGCATGTGTTAAGACAAATTTTAAACGTGTTTATAACTACCATAAATTCTTAATTTTGGACACAAGTGATAGTTTCAAGACAAGCTCATTAACGTGGACTAGTGACCTTTAGACATTGTATAGACTTTCTTTTAGAATGACAAAAAAAAAAAAAAAAAAAAAGGGTAATTGTAAGGAAATACACAAAATATGTATATATATATATATATATATATTAAAAAACAAAAGCGTGTAGAACTATTTTACTGAAGTGGGCATGGAAGGAGGAGAAGATTTCAAATTATGTGTGCATACACATATATTTCTATATATATATATACACACACACACACACATACATAAACACAAGCATACACATATGTTGATTCCTATTTATAACTTTCTCAACTCAACAGGAATGATTTAAATCATAATTTGTAGAAATTTCATGCGATCATAGAATGTAATTGTGGGTAAAGCGTTCAATGATATAAGGAATCATATCGATTATGACATGGTCACAAGGGAGCAATGGCCTAGGTGGAGATCTGGGTTGTCACGAAAGGACCACGAGGAGTGTCCCAATAGCGAAGGGGGAAATTTTCTAGTAACCTCCCACAAAAATGTGCTAATTACTTGGTGGCATGCGTTCGAATCTCTCTCTCTCTCTTGTTTGGTCCTCGTTAATTGGCCACTTTACTCCCCTTTTATACTACTTTGATCTTTAACTGTGGAAAGATTTAGGCTGAATTGTTAAGAAATTAGTTGGGGAGGATCTTTAGGAATTATCCATAGTTAGATAGTTGACTTTTTTTAAATTATGATTTATATATATTTTTTTCCTTAGATAGAATTTGTAATACACTTCTATATATATACGCCTGTAAACTATCATATATGAAAAGAGAATATCAGAATTTATTCTTTTTCACCTTCGTGTTCATGGTATCAGAGCCGCCTTCACTAGGACGGTAAATTACTCCATCGTTCTGCTGATTATCCGATAAAATCAGCAAATATTCATCTTAATTCAGGTCGTTTATACCAGAATTATAGAAGACTTATTCTTGTATTTCTCTTCGTCATTTTTGGACAATTTCTTTGGTTAAATCCGTGATGTCTGGAATCTTCATTGAGGAAGTTTCGGTCGATTCTTCAAATGCTCGGAAATCCCAGATTACTTCATCCGGTTCAGGTGACAACCCAATCCTCCAAATTACCACTCATCGGCTGAATAGACAGAATTTTCTATGGTCTCAATCCGTAAAGTTGTTCGTCCGAGGGCGGGGGTAGATTGGTTATTTAACTGGTGCAAAGCACGCCCCAAAGGAAGATGATCCAGCATATGCCGTTTGGGATACAGAAAATTCAATGAATATGTCATGGCTAAGTGAACTCCATGGAATCGGAGATAGGCCAGACATTTATGTATCTCTCCACTGCCAAAGAATTATGGGACGCAGTGAGTGAGACATACTCAGACTTAGGCAATTCTGCACAAGTCTATGAAATTAAAACAGGGATCCGAGAAACAAGGCAAGGAGATCAGACTGTTACAAAGTATTACAACATATTACAAGGTTTGTGCCAAGAACTTGACCTCTTTTATGATTTTGAATGGAAGTGTGCAGGTGATAGTGCCCAGTTCAAGAAAACAGTTAAGAAGGACCGTGTTTTTTAATTTTTGGTTGGACTCAATGCTGAGTTAGATGAAGTGAGAGGACGTATTCTAGGCAAAGAGCCACTGCCTACCACTAGAGAAGTCTTCTCAGAAGTTAAGAGGGAAGAAAGCCGCAGGTTGGTGATGATGGGAAAGAAATCTTCTAGCACTCATAGTGAGAACTCTGCACTCAATGTAACAGCCACTGAAATGGCAGCAACTGCAGTTAATCTAAAACCAACAAATCACCCACAGCGGAAGATTGAAGAGAAAACCAAGATCTGGTGTGATTTCTGTAACAAACCAAAGCACACGCGAGAAACATGCTGGAAACTACATGGAAAACCAGCAAATTGGAAGGTAGGCAGATTTGGAGGCAAGAATGGGCGTGGAATACAGGCTACTACTGAAACCGAGACATCTCCAATCAGTAAGGAGCAGCTTGATCATCTCTCCAAACTGCTGAACAAAACTCAGGTTTCAAGGGTCTTCTCAGGTTCTCTTGCCCAAGAAGGTAGCTCTTTAAGTGCTCTGACTGGTTCTTTAAATCTGGCACCTTGGATCTCTGATCACATGACTAGTTTATCACATTTGTTTAGTACATATTTTCCAAATTCTGGTCACTTAAAAATTCATATTGCTGATGATACTTTGTCTCTAGTTGCAGGAAAAGGTTCTATAGTAGTCTCAGAAAACCTTGTTTTAAAATATGTCCTCCATGTGCCTAACCTTTCATGCAATCTTTTATCAGTTAGTAAACTCACCAAAGATTCTAACTGTGTTGTCAAATTTCTTGATTCTCACTGTGAATTTCAAGACCTGTTCTCGAGGAAGATGATTGGCAGTGCTAGGATGGTTGATGGACTCTATTATTTTAATAATGAAATCTTCAAGAGTGGACAAGCTCAAGCTGCAAGTAGTAGTGATATTTCTATTTCTGTTAAAAGTCAAATAATGTTATGGCACTATAGGTTAGGCCATCCCAGTTTCTCTTACTTAAAACATTTGTTTCCATCCCTGTTCAAAAATTTAAATCCTTTGGTATTTCAAAGTGAATCTTACCAATTATCAAATCATCATCGTGTTTCTTATCCTCTAAGAAGCACGGACACGGATACGGGACACGGATACGACACGACACGGACACGGCGACACGGCAAATCCAAAAAAATTAGGACACGGACACGGCGAATAGTGTATATATATATATATATGATGTAGTACTTTAAAAATTACCGAGTGTTACTATTTTTCATCAACCTCACAATGGAAAATATATACAAATCATAACTTATAACTAATAAACTATAAAAGAACAATGTTGCAGAGTTATAAAACCAAATAAAAAACAAGATATTAGAATAATAACTAGTATCATTTAATCATCATTGCAACTTTACTCCAAATACAAAAGCATAGACTGAAAGGACTATTAACATTCATGATTGTTTAACATTCAGGACTGTACTGTTAGCACTTAACATTCACAAAAACCTAAAGGCTAGTCCCAAAAAAGATACAAAAACAAGTCAGTGTATTATCATCTATTCCCATCCATCATTTGACCTAGGACTTTACCATTTACAATACCAAAAGGGTAGTCCAAAACAAAAAAAAAAAGAACATATCAGCATTCATCTATTGTTGTTCATCATCAATTGTCTCATGAATCTCATCATCATTAACACTTCCATCATCGGTAAATAATACCGCCTCTAATTCTGGCTCATCAAGTGAGAGGTTTGCAACCTCAAGCACCCCAACATCACCAAATGAATCAAATGCATCTCCTGCAATATCCCACATCTTAGTTCGTCCTTCATTGTACTGTGGGGTTCTCCTTGACAGAAGACGGAGATTACTATGAATGAAAACCAAATCTTCAGCCCGTTGTGGCGCCATCTTGTTCCTTCTCAATGAGTGAATAAAAGAATAAGTACTCCAGTTCCTCTCACAACATGAGGAGGAAGAAGGCTGGACAAGCAACTTCAAAGCTAACTCTTGAAGCAAGGGACCATATGAACCATGTACAACCCACCAACTTTTAAGATCCATGGTATATCTATCACATATAGAATCACTCTCCCCAAATTCCCCCGAGTTTGATGAAAAATTAGCATACTCCAATTGGACTTTTGAACGCTCTTGTGGGTCACTAAAGTATTTTTTAAGGCACCTTGTTCTCTCTCTTGAGACCTCTAAATCCTTGTGTGGTGGAACTCGACTTTGGTCTTCACTAAGCCACACATCACTATAGTACCTACAATAAATAAGAGAATGCATTTAATTCATAATTTAATTTCCTTAATTCTAAACTAAGATTAAAACTTCTTTAGCTTACAAATTAATATCTAATGATTTACCTTGGATTTAGTGAATGTGCCAAGCAATGAAGCGGAGTATTGTTCTTGTTCCAACGAGCTACAAGTATCCCATGCACCACTTCATAAAAGGAAGAACTTTCACTTTGTCGCTTTCTTTCATACCTATATATTGCCATCTTCACTTTTTCAATCATTGTATCCCACATATCATAAACTAAGTGAAGACAAGGCTTATCGGTATCACAAGCCCTTAGCATGTCATAAATAGGTGAAGTAAAGGAAAGGATATAATCAATCTTTCCCCACCATTGTTCATCCAACAGCTTCTCTCTCACATAATCGGCCTTTCCTACATCATCCTCCTTATAGCAAGTCCACTTGTCACTTATGACCATTGCTTGGAGACCACCTTTTATAAGTTTAAATCTTTTCATCATCACAATAACAGAAGCAAAGCGTGTCTCTGCAACTGAAAGCAACTTCAAGCTGACAAACTCATTGAAAATAGCTAATCTCATTGAATGGTTCATGATGAAATTCTTTATTTTTGTAACCTCATCAGCATAATCAAGAATCCAACCACACTCTGCATATGCAATTTCATTCTTTTCCACATTTTTTGCAGCACAAATATTTTTGAGGGCAAGATTAAGAGTATGGACCACACAAGGTGTCCAAACAATGTGAGGGAATTGCCCTTCAATTAGTTGTCCAGCAGCCTTGCAATTTGGGGCATTGTCTGTAATTACTTGGATCACATTTTGGGGGCCAACCTCATTTATGACTTCCTTCAACAAATTGGAAATGAAAAACTTGTCTTTAATTCCACCGGAACAATCAACAGCTTTCAAAAACATGGGACCTCCTTCTGTCATAGCCATAAAATTAATTAAAGGCCGCCTTTGTGGATCACTCCAACCATCACTTGCAATGCTAACACCCTTTGCCTTCCATGTACTCCTAATTGGTTGCAATAATCTATCAATATTTGCCTTTTCTTTTTGAAGTAGAGTGGTTCTCAATAGATTATAACCCGGAGGCAAATAACCTGACAGAGGATTATTTGCAGCATAGTTGTATGAACTCACATAATACGGGTTTCTTGCTAGATGAAACGGCAATCCTGCGGAATAAAACATCCTAGCAATCTCTGAGTGCAATTGTTCCCGAGCCTCATTATTAAATGCCTTCCCAATGGCACCCCCACTTGCCTTTCTTTTCTTTGGTACATAAGCCTCCTGAGTGAGACTAGTAGTACCACCCAATGATGCACTAGACGGCGGCAAAGGAACTTTTTTTGGTTTAGAATTTTTAAATCTCAATTCGGCTTCTTCAATTGCTTTTTGCATTTCTGCAATATTCTGATATGTGACTTTTGGACATATACGAATACCCATACCAGTGTTCTGCAACAAGTGGGCTTTAACTCTTGTATAAGACCCCCTGAATTCGTTATTACAAAAGTGGCATTTGAATAAAAAATTTCCTCCTCCACCACCAATTTTTTCTAATTGTGTGACATAGTTCCAAAGTGGTTTGTTATCATCTTGTTCGAATTGAGGAGTACAACTAGCAACTGATGTAGACAATGACATGTCTAATTCCCTAGACATAAAAAGAAAAGAAAAAAAATCCATACTTACAGCAGTCAGCAAAGAAAGAACAGTCAGCAAAGAAAAAATAAATTCCTATTTGCTACAGATTCATAAGTCATATGCAATAGCTGAAATTAAATCAAAGATGAAATCCAATTCATTTACAGGTCAATAAGTCACGACTCACACAAGCTAAAATTTAAAGCAAGAATAAAGACAACAGAGAAGAAGAAGAAGAAGAAGCAGAAGAAAGAAATTAGGAAAGAAATTAAGGTCTGTAAAAAAAGAAAAATACCAGAAAAGAAGAAGACGGGTTTGTGAACTGGGGTTAGTGGAGGGGGGGGGGGGGGAGGAGAGAGAGAAAAGAAAAAGAAAGAATTTGGGGTTTTGAAAAAGGAAAACAAAAAACAAAAAATAAAAAATAGATGAAGAAGAAAGAAACTGGGGTTAGTGAAAAACGGGGAAAAAAAAAAACAAAGGAGAGAGAAAAGAAAAAGAAAGAAACTGGGGTTTTGAAAAAGGAAAACGAAAAAAAAAACAAAAAAAAAATAGATGAAGAAGAAAGAAAGAATCTGGGTTTGTGAAAAAGGAAAAAGAAAAAAAAAATGAAGAAGAAAGAAAGAAACTAGGGTTTGTGAAGAAAAAGAAAGAAAAGAGGAAGGAGGAGGAAGAAAAGAGAGGAGAGAGAGAGAGAAAGAGAGAGAGAGAGACTGACCTGGAGGCTGGAAGGAGTCGCTTTGATCTGCAGCAGGAAGTTGCAGAGCTTCGTCGTCAGTTTGAGAGAGCACAACCCCCGTCCTTTGAATCTGATCTTGTCATAGTGTAATGACTGCCTTAAATATCTATCTCTTTTGTTTAAAATTACATATTAACCTTGAAAGTTTAAAATTATTATGTTCTGACCACATAAGTAAGTAAATAACTTTATATATTTGTACTTTAACCCAACTTTCTTTTAAAAATTATCTTTTAAACCCCCAAAAATAAGACACGCGTGTCGGACACACACCCTGGCGTGTCGGACGCGTGTCCGTGCCGTATCCGTGCCGTGTCCAATCCGTGTCCGAAAATTTTTAAAAAATAAAAAATTCCAGACACGCTTTTTGCCGTGTCCGACACGTGTCGGGCCGTGTCCGACGCGTGTCCGTGTCCGACACGGATTCTTTGCCTATTTCGGAGTGTCCGTGCTTCCTAGCTTATCCTTCTCATTTATATCAAGCATCCAAACCATTTTATTTGATTCATAGTGATGTGTGGGGGCCTTCTCAGGTTACTAATGTGACTGGAACTAGGTGCCTCATCACTTCATTGATGACCATACTAGAGTGTGTTGGGTATATCTTTTGAGAGAAAAATCTGAGGCTGCAAGAGTGTTTAAAGAGTTCTACGCCATAATTGAAAACCAGTTTCAAACCCGGATTCAAGTATTTAGAACTGACAACGAAAAAGAATTCTTTAACTCTATTCTTGGTGATTTTTTGAAAGAAAAGGGTATTTTCCATCAGTTCACTTGCTTGGATACCCCACAGCAAAACAGGATAGCTGAGAGAAAAAACCACCATTTACTCGAGGTTGTTAAGGCAATAATGTTCACTATGGGGGTTACTAAATATCTATGGGGTGAGGCTGTTCTTACAGCTTCATACTTGATCAACAAAATGCCAACGAGGGTGTTGAAACTTGAGACGCCCCTAAATAGCTTGCTGTCAGTTTTTCCTCATATTAGGATCTTCACCTCATTACCTCTTAAAGTGTTTGGATGCACTGCTTTTGTACATGTTCATACACGGGATCGTTTAAAACTTGATCCTAGGGCTGAAAAGTGCGTGTTTGTTGGGTACTCTCCTAAACAAAAAGGGTATAAATGTTATAACCTCACCTCTAAAAAATTCTTTGAGAGTAACTTATCAAAAAAAAAAAATTCTTTGTGAGTATGGATGTGACTTTTTTTGAGACTCTAACTCTATTTCACCAAAAATACTCATTATGGGGAGAGAAATGAGAGGGAAGACCATTTTTGGGAAGTATTGGGCTCTTTTCCATTGCTGAGTGTTTCACCAAACTCTACCTTGCCTGCTGAACCCACTATTTTAACCTCTCTGAAGCCTATTGAGTCAAACATTATAGACTACACTTCAGGGGGAGAACCACTTCAAATCCAACCTCAATCTGAGCTCCTTGTTTACTCTCGAATAAGGAAGGATCAAAATAAAGAGCACCAACCTACTACCTGCTAAGAAAATTCTCCGGATAAAGGCAACTTGAATGAAACAGGTATTTCAGTCTCTAATCCATCTTTAATTCCTGAAACCAACAATGAAGAGAGCCTTTCTCATGACCTTGATATTCCTATTGCACTTAGAAAGGGTACTCGCTCTTGTACCATGCATCCTATTGCTAAATATGTGTCCCACCATAGATTGTCTCCAAATTATAGAGCTTTTACCACTAATCTCTCTGGTGTTTCAATTCCTAGAACTATACAGGAGGCCTTGAATCTTACTGAGTGGAAGGCAGCAGTTATGGAAGAGATGAGGGCTCTTGATAAGAACAAAACTTGGGAGATTGTTGAGTTTCCAAGGGAGAAGAAGACCGTAGGCTGCAAATAGGTGTTCACGGTCAAATATAAGGCTGATGGTAATATTGAGAGATACAAGGCGAGACTCGTAGCTAAAGGTTTCACCCAAACATATGGAATAGATTACCAGGAAACCTTTGCCCTGGTGGCAAAGGTAAATTCCATATGGGTGCTGTTGTCTCTTGCTACAAGCTTGAGTTGGCCATTGCAGCAGTTGTATGTAAAGAATGCATTCTTAAATGGTGAGCTAGAGGAAGAAGTGTTTATGAATCTACCACCAGGATTTGAAAATGATTATGGAGCTGGAAAGGTGTGTAAATTGAAGAAATTGTTATATGATTTAAAACAATCACCCATAGCATGGTTTGATCGCTTCACTAAAGCTATCAAGGGTCATGGATATCGTCAAAGTCAGGCTGATCACGCTATGTTCTACAAACATTCAAGTGATGGTAAGATAGCCATAGTTATTGTTTATGTGGATGACATAATCTTGACCGGAGATAATAAAAGAGAATTAGAGGATTTGAAGTCTTTTCTTGCAAAGGAATTTGAGATAAAAGATCTTGGAGCTTTGAAATACTTCATAGGAATGGAATTTGCCAGAACCAAGAGACAGATATTTGTCTCTCAAAGGAAGTATGTGTTGGATTTACTTATGGAAGCAGGTTTACTTGGCTGCAAACCAGTGGAAACACCGATGGAGCCCAATTTAAAGTTATAGGCAGCAAGTGCAGAAAAAGTGGTGAACCGAGAGCAATTCCAAAGACTGGTTGGAAGACTCATTTATCTTTCACACACTCGACCAGATATTGCCTTTGCAGTGAGTGTAGTGAGTCAATTTATGCACTCACCAGGAGAAGAACTCTTTGAGGCAATCTACCGGATTCTCAAATACCTTAAGGGATCACCTCGAAGAGGTTTGTTGTTTGAAAACCACGGCCATCTAAGGATTGAAGCCTATAACGATGCTGATTGGGCAGGTAGTGTGACGGATAGAAGGTCTACTTCAGGTTACTATACTTATGTTGGTGGAAACTTGGTAACTTGGATGAGCAAGAAACAAACCGTTGTAGTAAGGAGTAGTGCAGAAGCTGAGTTCAGAGCAGTTGCTCATGGAATTTGTGAACTTTTGTGGCTGAAAAGATTACTTGAAGATCTTAAAATCTCAAGTCCGATGCCTATGAAGCTTTACTTTGATAATAAAGCTGCAATCAACATAGCTCACAATCCTGTCCAACATGATAGGACTAAGCATGTGGAAGTTGATCGACATTTTATTAAGGAGAAATTGGAAGGAGTGATATGTATGCCCTATATTCCTACAGGAGAACAGGTAGCAGATATCCTCACTAAAAGATTATTGAAGGGGAAATTTGACAATCTTACATGCAAGCTGGGAATGCAAGACATTTTTTCGAGCCAGCTTGAGGGGGAGTGTGGAAAGATCTAGGCTGAATTGTTAGGAAATTAGTTAAGGAGGATTTTTAGGAATTATCCAAAGTTAGATAGTTGACTTTTTTTAAATTATGATCTGTATATATCTTTTCCTTAGATAGAATTTGTAATACACTTCTATATATATAGGCCTGTAAACTAACATATCATATATGAAAAGAGAATATCAAAATTTACTCTTTTTCACCTTTGTGTTCATTAACAAGGACTGAGGAGCAAAAGAGCTCACCGATGGTCAATATGCTTGCCAGCTAGGTCATTCTTAAGGGAAGGAGTGGATATCATTTGAAGGCTCAAGGTAAAGTGACCAGCTATTTTGGGTAAAGGAGGTGACATATTTAGCGTGACTATGGCTGGGAGAGGACATTCATTAAATGTGATGACTTTTGGGAGATTTCTTCTCTCTCACTTTCTTTGCGGCAGGTCAAGGGATACTTGCATCATCTGGAACACAACACAACCCCGCCATAATCCTCGAATCTCAAACACCAAGCCAATAAATTTGACCCTCCATTGCCTCACAGATAGCTTTTGTGGTTGTTTACGACCTCCTTGATTTGTCCTCTAGGTTTATCGTTAGAGAGGAACTCCTTAATAGCCTTCTTTTCATCCTCAAGGCTTATTAGTAGGAGGAACTCTTTGAGGTTCTTCTTTTCATCCTCAAAGATTATCAATAAAGAGGAATAGCTAAAGGTTCTTTTCATCCTTAAGATTTATCCATAAAGAGGAACCCCTCAAGGGCTTTTAACAATGGGAGGTCTCACAACTCTAGTCCTCTCCCATTCGAGAATTATCTGTAGAGAGGAAGCATTCATGTTTATATGCCATCCTCGAGGCTTATTCGTAGGGAGGTCTCCGTTTATGAGGAATATGACCTTGCTGGATTGAGGATCCCCATGTGGAGCGTCTCTCTTGGCTTCCTCTTTCAGCTGCACCTGATTCACCCAAGGCAAGATTAAAATTCTTAACCAAGCATAGCCACTGCAAGCGGCCTTGAGGACGCTACCGCGATGGGTAACAGGGAGATCTAAAAAGAGGATGAGTGCCTTTTTTCTCATCGATGTTGCTAATGAGTCAATTGGGTCGATGCCATGTGGAGGGTGGCACCGTTATGTGTTTGGTGATGCTTATGGAGGGCGCGGAATAGAAGATCTTTTGATGGAGAGGAATCTTCCATCGGGGCTCTGAAGTTCTCTATGATTTTCTCTCTTTTTTAGTTGGTCCTTGGGAGATATTGTAAATCTTTAGGGTAGCTAGTTGATTTTTTGGGTTCTTAGGGCCCTATTTGGTCCTTGTGTAGCTTTAATGGGATGCGTTCCCCATTTGAGCACTTTCTAGTACAATATTACTAATCAAAAAAAAAAAAATTTGCCATGTGGCCTATCTGCACTAAGGAGCAGTAGACTGCCCACCAAAAATTAGATTTATTTGCCATTAAGTAATAATTCTCATACTTATCAAAAAAGAAAAAAAAATTTGTAGTGATTCTCATGCCTTATATAATTTTTATATAGAATATGTATTATATCAGTGTCATTGTCATGTCCCTCTCCTACTTTTTTTATGATTCCTAGTATTTATGTGTCCCTATCATGTCATTCATATATCTTTATAGCTTCTTAGATAAAAATCATCAGAACATATTAATTCACTGCCTAAAAAAATTGATTCAGCAGTGAGTCAGTGATAAACTACCATCATTCTTCACCATGTCAAACATGTCAATTGACCACTCCAAGGAACAGCTCATTAGCTCAAGCTTGATTCATTTGGTTAATTAACTTAACAAGTGAATCTTTATTTGAGATCAAAATTGGCTAAATCGTTACAAAATTACAACGATCATCAGCTCATGGTTACGAGTCCTCACTAGTTGAGTCTCATTCACAAACCTTAACAAGCTGAGTTAAGGATGTCCGGCCTTGACTCATAGTAAAGAAGTCTAAATGAATTTTTTTTATAAGTAAAAGAAGTCTAAATGATAATAATTTACAATCAAGTGAACGTGAATGAGCTCTGAATTGAGTCGAGCACAAGCTGTTTAGGTTCATTTGTAGCTTATGCAACTCATATTGACAACTCCTGGGTTTTACTGGGCTCATTTGGATAGCATAACTGCTTCATAAGCTGTGAGTCTGTGACTCCATGCCTTAGTATTTTGAAAATGTTTATTGTTTACTTCTGGTCACAGGTAGATTTAGTTTAACTAGGAAATTGCTACGGGATGTGGGGTTAATTATTCATGGCATACTGATATTTAAAATTATTGGAGCTAAAATATGGAAGTTGTATGGTTAATGGTCAAATGGATCAACCACAATAGGAGGGGTTAAAATGAGGAGACAAGTGTATGTATCATTTGATAGTTGAAACTTTGAATTATCTAGTAGAAGGTGAGATAAATAAATCATTTCTTTGAAATGAAGATATTCTCATTCTCTTCAAAATATGCATCTTATCATAAATTTGAAGCAACCCAGCAGGATGTGGGGTTATGTCACCCTTAATATGGTGACTCCCATATGTATATCAATTATTTGAAAACGTATGATATCAATAATTATCATTTACAGTTAATATGTACAGAAATGTCTAAAAATTAGAAAATACTTGTTAGGAGCATTATGCCATCTTTGATGCTACTTGATGTTCAGCATACTAACAGCTTAACATCATCGTGTACATATAAGTAATCCTAGGGTATTGACCACCAAGCTAATGAAAACCAATTATTGCATTTCTTCTCCAGATCAGCATGATAGTGTACAAGAAAAGTCAAAAGTTCAAAACACCTATTAGTTCACCACAGTGTTGTTAAAGACACGCCTAGGCTCGAGGCGCAGGTCTAGCTCCTGTTGTCATCCTAGGCTTACTAATGTTTACTAGGCGCGCGCCTCGGTTACACCTCGTCCTATTTGTCTAGGTGCACTAGGCGCACCTCGCTATTTTTTGTTTTTTTTCAAATGATTGTTCTATCCCTTAAGCCAAAAAGGGTACTTTTGGCAACTTAATAAACAAATAAGAAATCCTAAGCATATCAGAGAAGGATCTTTTGTTCAAAAGAATAAACAAATAAGAAAGTCGAAGACCGAACATAGAAAGTGAGACTGTGAGAGCAACGACAAAACCCTAGTGGCAGAGACGAATGACGAAGACATGTCAGTTCTTTCTTCTTCTCCTCTCTTCTCCTCTACTCCTCTCTTCTCATCTTTGTTTACTTCTTTCTCTCCGTCTAGTTCTCTTATCTCATCTTGGTTTTTTTTTTTTGGTTCTATTTTTTTCTCCTTTCTCTTCTTTAACACTTTCTCTCTTTTCTCATCTACTTCTCTATCTTCATCTACTTCTTTTGTCACAGCATCTTTTTTTTTCTTTTTTGGCTCTATTTTTTTTTCTTTTCTTGTTAACAGTTTTTTTTTTAATAGATTTATTTCTTTTTGTACTCTGTTTTGCCTTTCAAGAAAACAAATTTGTGCTATATTTTATGGTTCTTGAATACTTATATAGTTGATAGATTTACTTTTTTATATTTGATATTAATTTTTAGAATATTGATATGTGACTTGTGAGAGATGAATGCTATTATGGTAGTTTAAAAATTCAATTGTGCACCTCACTTCACTCAAGCGCGCGCCTAAGCTCCAAAGGATTTCTAGCGCCTTGAGCCTTTAATAACACTGGTTCACCAATTATATGGATACACAGGCAGAACAAGATTCCAATAGAAAATTTACAGCCTTAAGTTACATATCAGGGCTATCAAATGCAATAAAACTGTGTACCTGTCCAATCAATTCATCTGCATCTTCTGTTTAACACGGTTGAAAACCTAACAAACTTGATTTAAAATTTTGCTATATTTCTTTTATTTTCTTTTCTTTTCTTTTCTTTTTTATAAGTGCATTTTTTTTTCTCCTCTAAAACGCACTTAACCTGCTCTCTCTCTCAATTCTCATGAACTAAACAAGAATAAAAGTGGTCTATGCAATCATGTTTATTCAAATATGAGTTCACTTCAAGTGTGTCTGTGTGTCTAAGTTATGTAGAATATACAGAGACATACATATATGTAAATCTATGTGCTATATATTTGCATTTGATGCATCGTGTCCATAGTATACACTGTAGGTTAATCAAACTAAGACTATGTAATAAGAAGTGCGGAGCTTGATAGTAGTGTACATCTTACCACGTGTTCACAGATCCACCTTACCCAAATTTTTATTGGGGAAATTTTGGCAATTTCACACTTGTTATGAAGCCTCTAAGAGTCTAGTGGGGCCGGTTGTTGATGACTGAATTCTCTCTAATTCCCTTTGCTTTTTATCTGTGAATCTCAGTGACTCTATAGAAGGAGCCCTAGTTTTGAGTGAACCACATGGATATGGTGTTCTTGTTTTATTTTTTTTTTGTTAGTTTTTGTAACTCATAGATCCTAGATTAGGGTTGTTTTTCATGACCCTATCTACACATGTACACATACACACCACAAGAAATAGAACAGGGACAACATATACAACATGCAGTCAAATAAGAACAAGTTAGGGTTCGATTTAAGCCTAGATCTATACATTTCTAAGCAGAATACGAGCAATTACTTTGGAATATTTTTAATCAAAGGAAGAAATTTACAAATGATAATCTTTTCAGATAATACCAAAAATACTTTTCAGACTAATATGGAGTAAATCGCAACAGAAATGGAAAGATTAGCGAATGGCGATGTGGTGAGGTTAGTTACCGAAATTTTTGCCGACGATACAGTGCCAAGTTGGACCATGCTTCTTATCGAACTCCTTCTTTATATACTCTGCAACATCCTTCTCCACATTATGCTTCTCAAACGCCTATACATGGATACATATGTATATACACATCACAAAAAGGAGCAATCAGCGTTCTCATACAATGAATTGGAAGGAATTTTTAGAGAGAGAAAGTAGAGAGATAGAGGAGGGGAGAGGGGGTACGGCGATGGCAATGTCGATGGCCTCCTTCTGCACGTCGTCCTTCATATCGGCGCTCTTGACAATGACTTTCTTGCCGGTCGGCGGTGGAGACGCCGCCGACGAGGGCTTCCGATCGTCTGAGGTGGACTTGGGGATCGGACCTCGGGCTCCGATTCTCTTCGCCTCCTCACTCATTTTAGTTGTGTTTTTTTAGTCAATTTGATTTAATTTGGTAAATAATAGTGGAGCTTTCTTTCACAGTGTAGAACTGAAAGGATAGTGGTCTGTAGAGCTCTCTCTCTTCCTTCTCTCTGTCTGGTGTGGTATTGCCTGGCGAGTTTTGTTATTTATGTGATGGAAGTGACAGTACGTTCTCTGTAGGAAATGTCTCCATTTTCAATTTTTTTTTTTTTTTTTGCCCTTTTTTTGTGTGTGTGTGTGAGAGAGAGAGAGTGGGGAGACTACGTGTCGCCCAATGATAAATATACACGTATTCTTAAATTGAAAATTAAGAAATTTACGCCCTATTACACATCATTGATCCTTCTTAATATGCCTTACATTAGTGACGGGAAGATTGACAATAACACCTTACTGGCTGCCCAAAAAACATCTTTGACAATAACATCTTACTAGCTGCCCAAAAAATATCTTTAAAAAAATCTTTATGGGGCTCTCACTGGATTGGTTAGTGAGAAGTAATAAAAAAAATTTAACAATTGAGTTAAATTCATATTTATTAAATGTTTAATATATACAAATAATTTTAGTATATAACATATTTATTATTTAATTAATTAATTTTTACTCCATGGGTTTCAATTAATTGAAATTTGAACAATTCCAAAAGAAAGAACAAAAACTTAAAAAAGATTAAAAACTTAGGAAAATGGTTTAGAACATAATAAGAACTACAGACTAGTTTGGTATGGTGGAATAAATTAGAATGAAGGTGAGAATGAATGTGAGAATAGTCATTCTGTTTTTGTTTAAAGGTGGAATGATTTTGATGGAATGACCATTCTCCAAAAATAGTAAGGAATGATGATTCCAACTTTAAAATTGACACCAAACACGAAAATGGAAAAAAAAATCATTCCATTCCACTTTCTTTTATTCCATTCCACTCCACCAAATTAGCCCTACGAGAACGATGCAAATATATATAGAGAGAAATATACATATATATTATATATTTGTTAATTTTGCTTGCTTTGGGGCAAACATTAGTAACCTTATTGCCTTGATTTTCTTGACACATATTTGTGTAACTGAAGATTTAGAATTTAAGGTTAGGAGAGTAAGATTTACCTTGTGGTGCAAGAATTAAAGTGGTTCAATTCATACAATTCGAAAGTTTCAATTTGAAAATTTTCTTAAGGTAGGTAATCCTAATAACCTATAATTATATGATTTTGTCTAAGTAACATGTTCTGTATACATACTTTAATTTTTGTAATTTTTGTTGAATTATTTTAAAGTGAGGTTATTTTGCATTTTAATTTTATTTTAATTTCAATTAAAAGGTAAAGTTAAATTGTATAATAATATACTCTGTATAATATATTGTATAAAGTATAACGTATAGAGTGGTATTCAGACATATGGTAAAACAAAAGTAAGTTTCTTTCTTGACTTGCTGACTTGATGATGACAAGGCTATGTTGGAGGAGTAGTATTAATCACCACCGTTAGATGCTTACTAGACGTCGTCTAGTGAGAAAGTAACTGAAAGGTTTTTTTTCCCCTCACGCAGAGCAACTCCAAGATTATTATAGGTGATCGAGCTCTCCCAGATGTGTTATTAAAACTGAAAGGTATTTGATTATCTTTTTTCTTTGATTCTTTCTTAATCCTTGAATTTTCACCTCTTTTCATTGATTAGGACATATCACTTCTTTTTCTTTTTCTTTTCCTTTCATAAACAAAAAACTTGTATCACTTCTTCTTAAACTATCTCATTAAATATTGTGTTTCATGGGTTTTTCAAATAAGTTGATCAAGCCCTAAGGCAAGGTGATGTATTATCCCCCTATTTTTTGTAATTGTAATGCGTGTATTTTCCTTTATCCTTAATAAAAGTATTCAAGGCAACCCTACCTTCAAATTCCATTGGAGATGTAAAAATCTCTCTTTCACACCTCATTTTTTGCTGACGGTCTATTGATCACATCTCATTCTAATCCACCTCAATCCAGATCATCAAGAATGCACTTGACCTTTTTTGTTCAATCTCAGGTTTTGGCATTAACCAGTCCAAAAGTAACATTTTCTTTTCAGGTATTAACCGTCACTTGAAGCCAACATTCTAACCATTTTTAGGTTTGAAAAAGGCTTTCTACCCATCAGATATTTTCGGCAGATTGAAACCTCCTGATTACGAAGAACTGAATTAAAAAGTCACTAGCAAAATAAGGAATAGGGCTAGCATATTATTATTTTTTGTTGGGAGAGTACAACTTATCGAATTGTGTTACGCAGTGTGCCGATTTTTTGGGCTTCAAAGTTTATTCTTCCTGTCAATGCATTAACTGAACTAAATTGCACCATTAGGAAATTCATATGGATAGGTCAGAAACTCAAAAAGTGTGCTGCTAATGTTTCATAGTCTGTTGTCTGCTCGCCTAAGTCTACTGGAGGAATTTGTATTCCACACATTCAAACATGGAACAAAATAGACATTATGAGATAACTGTGACAAATTTTATCACCAGATCACTTATCTTTTTGGGCACAATGGGTAAGGAATTACCTTATTAGAGAAAAATGCATTTGGCTCCTGAAAACACCACATTAATGCTCATGGAATTGGTGTAAGCTACTTTAGCTCTGACCTGCCATCAAGCCCTTTGTCAAGGTAGAAAATGGCAATGGCATAAACACTAATTTTTGGATTGATAAATGGAGTTCTATTAGTCCATTACAAGGCCTCACTTCAAATGAATAAATTTAGAACTCATTTTTTATCCCAACACAATGATCAGCTCTTTCATTAATGACTCTTAATGGACTTGTCTCCTGCCATATTAACCATTATCCCTCAGCTCAGATATCCTAATATCCTACCAATTCCCATCCCCAACTAATAAGACAAAATCAAGTGCATCTTTTGTTTGGTAGGGATAAGGTCACTCTTTTTAAGGCTGAGAGTGGCATGGGAGTTAGGAGTTTCCACAACATTGTTCAAATAAGCAAATGTGTTCTGTAGCGGGACTTTTTGCATTTGAAAAAAGTTTTGCGAGTTAGATGGTTTAGGGATAAATATGTTAAGAGAGCCAATTTTGGAGTTTGATTGTTAGACCTACTAATTCAGTAGCTTGGAAGGCAATCTTGTCGGTTAGAGACCTCATGTTACAACACTTGAGATTTCAAGTTAATAATGGTACTGCTTTAAGTTTTTTTTTTTTTTTTTTTCCCCATGGTTTAATGGGGTATCTTTACAATAAAAGTTTGGTCCTAAAAGACTTTTTGATGTTGGTTCTCAATTTGCACACTCTCAGTGTCCTTTGGAACTCTGGTAGATAGGTTGTCCCAACTTCTTAGCATGCAAAAATTGGATATTGTTTGAACAGAGTTGTTAATCAAATAGATGAGGATGTTATGGTATGGTATAATGGAAAATTTTCTTTTAAAGTAGCAATGATGATTTGTAAATAGGAAGGAGTTAAAGTTCCTTGGCATACTCTAGTTTGGAATGGTTACAAAACTAAAATCTCTTTTTTGGTAGTTCAGTTTTGCGACATATCAACAATTTTTTTTAAAATTTAAGAAGAAGGGGGTCTCACCATCACCGCAGTTTGTCATAATTGCTACTGTGGGGAGGACTCTAATGATCACTTTCTCGACATGCAACTATGCTAGTCAAGTTTGTAATTGGTTCATTCACTTATGCAAGTGGGATGGCTTACATGATCTTCATTCTTTGGTTGCAGTCACTCAATGGTTCATTAATACTTTTGCGGATTCTTATATGAAGAGTTGGGTTTCAAGATGTTTTTTACGGTAATCCTATCGAGTTTATGGTCTCATATGAATAGGAAAATACATGGTGGTCTCTAACCTTTATTGTGACGGCCCAAGTTTTGCAACCCGGTGTGTTAGTGATGATCCGAGAGTTGACCCGATAATGGATTCGAAATACGGAAGCGAAAGATGAAAAGTGTCCTCTAGAGATGTACGTCATCCCTAAGTCATCAAAATGACTCCACATGAAGCCATGCAACTCAAATGAGCTAAGTAATGAAGCAAGAATGTCAAACCTAAAAAGAAATGAACTAAGGGTAAAATGGTCATTTCAAACTAAAATGGATGCCACCGTGCACACCATTGGAAAGACAACGAGAAATGAATGAAGTTGGACGCAAGAATCACCTGATTCGGAGTCCGGACGAAAAAGATACAAAAATGGAACAAAGAGGCATCATCCAAATTAGGAGATCCCACAACCCTATCTCACTAAAACTGAAATAACTCTTATTACAGTTGGAGTGTTGGTTTGTGGTTAGTATCATTAGAAAGCTAACTTTAAGCTCTTGAACTTAGAATCAAGAATGACCTGATTTGGATTTAAAATGAAAGAGATATGACCTTCTGAAGTTGATGCAAGAGAACTGTCCAAAGGAAACTGAAAAGGGAAGGTTCCAAGGAGGATCGGTCGACCGACGGCAAGAACCAGCTGACCGAAACCCGATCATCAGCCGACCGAACCCCAATTGTCAGCCGGCCGAAATGACCTTTTTCACTAAAGAGGCTACTGGAATGGATTCTCAAGATGTGTCAGCCGGCTGATGGCTCTCATCAGCCGACCCGACCGACGTAATAGACAGCAGCAAAAGTTGCTGCTACAATGCATGGGAAAGAACTCGGTCAAAAACTAATGCTATGCATGCATCTCATATGATCCAAACATGTTTTAAAACATTTCCTAGCCTCATACAAGCATCCATAACATGCTAAAATAAAGAGGAACTTTAAATCATACACCCATGCATGTATTTTTCATAAAAATTCAAAAAATTGCCCAAAAATAGGTCAAAAGTTGAAACTTAAGAGTTTTGTGAAATGTGGACATGCACGCAAACGTAAAAAGACATTTAAGACGAGTCCCAATGGTCCGCGGCCTCAAAATATCCCCAATGCAAAATATGACATCTCAAACCTCAATTTTCCATAAAATTGCCTTAAAATGCAATAAAGGAAACCAAAATGCAAAACCTAAAACAAATTGGTGTTTGGCCCTCGGCCACACCTCATACATGGTTAATGAGACCCTATGAAAGGAAAAGAATAAAATTTCCACACCCGATGCAAACATGGTGAAGCAAATAGCTTGACATTTCTCAATACTTCCATAATAAACTTTGAAAGTGAAAATGCATAGAAT